CCTAATGTCATGATAAACGTCCGGGATCGCACAGAAATTTAATTATTTCTGTGGCAATGAAGGGTATTTTCTTGTATTTATTTATTTCAAGAACATTATTTTGTACTAAAATACTGTCTTAAATAACGAAGGTGTCGATTACATCATTTAATTTATTGTAACTGTCTGTTCATTCAGTTGAAAACAAAATTCAAAGAATGATCAGCTGATCAATTAAGTAGTGCATTGTAAGAGTCAGTAGCTACTGTAGTATTTGTAGATACTGTAGTAATTGTAGATTATAAAAATATTTATTGTAAATATAAACAGATAAGTAATGAGGGAAACATGGAAAATGTATTCCACTGTATCTTATCCATAAGAAGACTTGACTTTGACAATACTTTGCCCTCGTTTCGATGAGATATTAAAAAAGAAACTGCACTTGTTCTGGATGGTTCTTGTTCTGGAATTAATCTATAACTTATATGTTACATTAATTCTTAATTTACCTGTCATCACAATGAAAATCGTTTGTGAATAGAGACGTAAAAATAATTCAAATTCTTAGGTACATCTGGAAGCTACAAAATAGTCAAAATAGTCCCGAGCATTTTATTAATCTAAAGTGTGATATATTATATCTGTATGAGACATTCTTGCAATAATTATTGTCCTTAATTAAAGATGCGACTGTAGCATACAATTGTAACCGGACTATTTTTTACAAGGCCTCCACTATATACAAAACTTTGCGATACATTTAGACTCTTCTAAATACGTATACGGAATCATGTATAAATCATAACTAGGCATCAATAGATGTCAATGGATTTTAGACAAATAGTGAAAAGAAAAAAGTGTATAGGATCAGTCCTATAATTTTTTTTTTTAATCAGCCAACAAAAACTTGACTCAAATGCATCATGGTGCACTTATAGCTAGTGAGTTGTTTAGTATCTATACTATATAGGGGACCTATATATACAAAAACGTACCTACCCTGTTTATTGTACAGACCCTTGACTGTACATACCATAAGGTCTGCTTATCCCTTGAGGAAACAAATGATATGATGTTAAGTTTTATATTATTGGTATCAACAACAATGTTATCTTAAAATCAAGCAAATAAAAAGGCTATTCTATTAAAAGCGCTGTTAACTTTTACCTACAATTTTCGCACGTTTACTCAATAACCTAACATTATTTCTTTCTCGTGACTGTGCCGAATATTTTAATATAAGTACCATAATGGGAAACCATTTTGAAAATTATGCAGTATGAAGAAAATTTTCTCTACAGTTTTTTAAAATAAGATTTGCATAATAATGTTGCCCGTGAGTATCAGACAGTAGCGACGAAGTTTGACGTCACGCGCGTGTATATAGACACTTGCGCAGGAGTTTCTTAAATAGTCTGTAGTGAGACACACTCAGTGTCGTTTGGGGATAGGACAATTTGTCTACCCCGCTAGTGAAGGTGATTCTTAACAAGAGGTAGGGAGCCATTTTATTAGTTTTAACGTAGTGGATAAAATAAAATAGTTTGAAAAAAATATAAAAATTGGTTTCACAAGCTAAGACAATGAAAATTTTGCTGCGGTAAATAATAAAAAAAGTTCAAAAAGTGTTTTAATATACAGTGTTAAATATAATATAAAATATATAAAGCTTGTTACAATTCCGACTAACATATAAAATATCTTGACTTGTGAAATCAACGGTGCGTTAGTGTGATTGTTGCACAACGGTCGTGATAGGTAATGTATCCCATTGTTATCCTTGAATACAATTTCTATGTTGTATTGTACTGGACACTAGCAATTTGTATAAATAGATACTCGCTTTGTTATTTGTTCTATATGGTGTTAGGAAATGTAACGTACAGTACAATTTGAATACTTCTCACTGAGATATGTTTGTATACAAAATTGAAAATAATAATAGATATTCATTAAAAATTTGCCGACTAAAAGTACTGACAAAATATTTAAAAGAATATTGCTTCTTATCCAGTACGCACAAATAACCTTTTACTTTCTATGTTTGTTTTCGATGCTAACTTTATCAATCGGAGCGTAGACTACAAATTCGTTTTCCATTGCCTTTTTAAAAATAAGACCAAACTATCTGAAACTATTTTATATTCAACTTTTGATACATTCGTACATTTAAAATTGTATGCTATTCTATACTCGTAAATCCCCGAATTTAAAATAGATCCCATGATTCTTTTTATTTAATGAAAACAAAATGTGAATATACCTCTAGTACAATTTTCTATATGATACATAATTAATTAAAGCTTTTCTAATTACAAAAATAAAATAAAACAAGCCTTCAAGACTACTTTTGTTTAATTAAATTTCAACACACTTTGCGCAAAATGTCTTCTAACTAGTTTATTTTCGTATTAAACTGTCAAACACCAAGCGGTCACCGGTGACCGCAACCTATTAATCTTTAATTGTGTCTATAAATACGGTACTCGACGAGTTAAAATGCGTTTATTAATTTATTTAATCCATAACGGTAAGCAAATCCAACGTAAAGTCATATAATGAAAATATTATATAACAAAACATTCATAATAAATATGAATAAAAGAACAAAGTCTGTATTTACCATTACTAGTTATACAAATCGGACGATTGTACTTTACCTTATTTATCTTTACCTTATTACATTCTAATGAATGGTTCGCATAAATTAGGCACTGTTTGCGGATCAAACAGCTTAATACATTAAACAACGAGAAGTAAACCTTGAATTAATTAATAAAAATCGCTATCAAGTTCAAGGTTATCGTTGTAACTAGGTTATTGCGAAATTTGCTTGTTCATCTCCACTATGACATAATATTACTTTGGATATTGATCTTATGATAATAGAATCACTCCATCGTAACCATTACTTAGGTACAGTAAATTATGTAGATGTCCTCAGTACATATACGCTCATTGCCATTTCACATCTCAGCACATTACCTATTTAAGGAGAGTAACAGATTGCAGCGCAAGGTTTAACACCGTAATGAATCATTCTTATCAAGATTTTAATCCAATCAAAAATGTTAGGTGTATTTTTGTAAAAAATAAAGTCTACTTACTCTTTAAAATATTCGAAAATTCAAAGGCGGGGTAAAACTTAAATCTTGGTTTAAAATTCTTGCACTCCGAAACTCCTGAAAAGATTTTAATATAATTTTCTAAACAGATAGACCATGACTTCTATTACATAAAATTGTATTTTCATCCTAGTCACACATTAGTTGTTGAAAGGCAAAGTAAGACACAATTTTCGACGTTTCCTTTACTGAAATTGCCCATTGTGTGTGTGCTCCATACACATAAGCCTATTAAAGTGTCGTAAGGCAGGCTTGCAGTCAATGGTGTAACATTTGGGCGACACAATATATTGATATATCATTCTTGTATCGTACCAATCATACAGATGTCATTGCACTCCTACGGTACGGTAAGACCATCTTTGATAACATATTCGACTATGCTTTGTGAGTAAGTCAAAACTAGATGATCATTGAATATAATTGGGTGGTCTCATCGGATTTTAGGCAATAAATTGTATTTATTATATTAGAACCGTGAAGGGAAACCTTGAAAAAAATAAACGTGATATTTTGCTTAAATTATTCAGACAGGTAAATAAAATAGGCTTATAAAGTTAATCACACCAGTTTATTGTATGTTTAATAGTCCACGTGTCCCTTCTACCTATAAATATAATAGGTCCAGTATCTTACATGTATAATTCGATATGTAGATAATCCATAAGCTATTTGAAATTCAAAACACGTTTGATATACAACAAATATAATTAATACCCATTTACGCATTTCAATCTTAATTATGTGCAAGTTTGTTTTAACTTTACGCATACTTAAATCATGTTTGACTTGACTGTGATAGTTTACTACTTAATTTATTATGTTAAATAAACTGTAGTCAGGTGGTTTATCGAAAGGCACAATTGTGGACGTAATAACTTACGATTAAAAAAAAATTTGATCATTCGAACATACGTTCTTAGAGCTTCTATGTTTTATGCAGAAAAACATTCGCGGAACTTCGATTTGTACGGACTCATCAATACTAATTTTCCATTCAAAACAAAAACCCGCTATTTTATACCGCTTTATAATTCGTCCATCATGAATTAATTATTAATTAAAAAAAAAATTGTTGTAGGTAGAAGGCATAGAACTGTCTAAAACAAGATTTTCGCATAAATAAGTAAATCCGGATAATAAAAAAACAAGTCCATTGACGCGGAACAACATTTTTTTAAAATATCAGTACATAATATTTTCGAGAACTTAGACTTAGGTACCTGTATGAAATTGCAGGAAAACCTATAGTTTATAACATGCAACATACTTACTCAAACAGTTGATTACAATTACATAAAAGATAATACCTAGGCTTATATAAATTGCCGACGCATAATGTTATGAATACAATATATACACGTCACATAATTCAACGTACCTACTTCCAGTTACGTAATAAATTGATCAACAGATATAATATATACTTTTTAGTCAAGATTATCACGTCCGTTATCTGTTTAAATACTGATTATTTGATCGAAATTTAGTTATGAAAAAATATATTGATTTTTGACTTAGCTCCACTTACGTCGACTTTAAGGTCATTATTATAGATTTTATGTTCCCTATAAAAGTAAAATACCTACATATCGACATTTGCTACGCTGCTAGCAATTCGGAATTTTTAAATTTGCATTTGTGACGTGTTTTGTTAGAATTAGTTTTTAAAAAAATATATTTAAACTGGAAATTTTACAAAAACTTGTCTACGGAAACTTTTTAGCAACCGTCGAAGCGAATCTTTGAAATATAATTATCGTTTTTCGATAATATTAACACATGTCTAAGAGCAAATACTATACATCAACATCCAAACTTATTCGGAATATAGTACCTACCATTCAGTATCTATATATTTTTTTTCTTTTTGTAGTGTAAAATCATCCAAACATGAGCTACACGACTGCAGAGAGCGTGGTGCCCACCAGCACCTGGGCGGCCACCAACTTGTTCTACGTTCTGGTGGTACCAGCCCTGATTCTCTGGTACGCGTACTGGCGTATGTCCAGAAGACATTTCTATGAACTCGCAGCAAAACTGCACGGACCCCCTGGCCTACCTCTGCTCGGAAACGCGCTAGAGTTCACCGGTGGATCTCACGGTAAGTTAATATAAATTATGTAATTCACGAACACTTTTAAGAAAAAACCTCTAAATTATGTCTACTGCAATCATAAAGTATAACTGACATTTTCAACGAAAACACTCATAAAGTACTTCACAAAGTTGACCTATAAAAGCAAAAATTTGATGCGCCTAAAAAATTCATAAATCCCGAATAAAGTTCGGATATTTTTTTCATACGAGATAAGTTTAATAATCACTGTATTTTCCAACAGACATCTTCAGAAATGTAATCGAGAAGAGTATTCCTTTCGATGGAGAATCCGTAGTGAAGATTTGGATCGGACCCCGACTTCTAGTGTTCTTGTACGATCCTCGTGATGTTGAGCTGATCCTCAGCAGTCACACACACATTGACAAGGCTGATGAATACAGATTCTTCAAGCCTTGGCTCGGAGACGGTCTTTTGATCAGTACTGGTAAGATATTTTTATTGGTTTGTTTCACATACGACCTAGTAAGAAAATCTGAAGCAAAGTGAATACTCCGTTTGTTCATTAATAAACTCAATTTTAAGCATAGAAACAAGGTGTACCTTTTATAAAAATTACTGGCTGTTCGAATTTCTGACGTCAAACTGTAGTAAAGTTTTATAGACGACTACAGAATATCAATAGGCTTAGTTTTTATTGAGGAAAAATTTTTAGCGGATCAGAATTCTCGGTGACCACGTCACTTTATTATATATAGATACACTATTGTTTCTTTATTGTCATTAAAGTTAATTCTGTGAACTAAAGCGCAACCATGACTTCCTATATTGCAAATTACAGCCGCATGTCCATAACTAACTGATAATTATTGACTACATATGCACCACAATTAGTTAGATATATCAAATATCTTGGACATAATAGTCTTCTGGACTATTCTGACGTGTATTTATCTCATTTTCTCAGGCCAGAAATGGAGGTCTCACCGCAAGCTGATTGCCCCCACTTTCCACTTAAACGTTCTCAAGAGTTTCATTGATCTGTTCAATGCCAACTCCAGGGCCGTTGTTAACAAGCTGAAGAAGGAGTCTGGAGAATTCGACTGTCATGACTACATGAGTGAATGCACCGTAGAAATCTTACTTGGTAAGTCGATTGTACAATGTCCCAGATATAAACATAGTATCACAACGGAATTTAAGCGCCAAAACTTTTATTCTTCCTAGTTTTCTAAGTATTTATTTATTCATGAGAATTATTTTTGATTGATGACGGCACTATCCGCTTTGTCATTACACATTATGACCAAAATGTGTTTTCCTGATTGGCGACTAACATTGAAAATTATAATTACAACACGAAGTACTTCATGGAAATGCGAGGAAACAATACATCTAATAATTTCAATATATTTGAATGTCAATTATATGGCCGGTCTATTGTATTCAAAAACAATAAATTATTCGATATCACAAATAACAAAATGTGTAATAGTTGAACATTTCTTTCGTTTTCAATGTTATGTCGCGTACGTGCTATTAGACATGCGCAGAAGAACCATTTTTCGTTACCAATGGTCAAATGTGCGTGCAAAGAATAGTTATAATTTGAATCTATTTAATCTTCTACTCTGCTCCATGCAACATTGAGTAAAGTTTTCCAAATACTTTGAAATAAAATTGAAAACTTATTTCCACAACTTCTTCACATTAGGAAATTTTAATAATACCTATGCGGATACACACATTTGCTGTGACCTTCATTTGACGATCTAGCATTAGCTGTTCACTTGGAGATTTGCAAACCATGTCTATAAATGTAAAGGAGCAGAAAAATTTATGACAACAAAACTGCTATAAATACGTAAACGAATAAATATAATAAGAATTTATAAACAAAATAACAGGTAAAAAAAGAAATACCGACAATAAACAAAACATACTACAAAACTAGACCGAACGCATTTAGTGGAAATGGTCTTAAATCTCAAGGTGTTAGCACAAAAATAATGCAAAATAAAGAGCAATTTGTATGTAATGTCACGTAGCCAGCCACGTTGTGACAACACGCCGGCCCTCACATGGACAACAGACCATGTTCTTGAAACAAATGCCCCGAGAACCTATTAAACCGTTTGCGAAATCTACGAGACGAAGATTACCTACGTGTTGATTCGACATACTCTTAAACTAAATTATATTTAATGCACTCTTGATTGAAGCCGCCACTCCATCGGCAAGTTGTTGCATATTACATGATCTTATTATGCGGTTTTGAGAAGTAACACTATGCAACCATAATTCCAAGATTTTATAACTACGCAAATGTTGTATCACGTAGTTAGAAATCGCCTTATTGCGTACAATAAATAATAATAGTTGTTAGAAGCAAGTTGACATAAATAGAGCTCTAAATAGCAGTATGCACTCGCGGTGTTTGTTGTATAATTATGTAGAATGCTTAGAACAATTTATGCGCTGTATTGCAGAGCCGCCTAAACTGTAATATAAAACCTTTTACAGGTTTATCCTTAAGCGGAAAACGCAGCCTCGGAAGTAACTTAGACCTTTGCGTGTGAATTTCAAACTAATTTGACCTTATAGTAGTTAACAAAACCCAACAAATGCCATTAGGTGGATAAACTTTTATTCGTAGGCATTAAATTAGTATAATAGTTTTGTTAGTCATGACATCAATGAAGTAAACGACCCTGTTGTTATTTTAAGTCAGTGACAAAGGTTTCTGCAATATAAATATAATGTTTCGGTATATTTAAATCCCGCATTGCATAATATCAAATTGAGTTTTGAATTGCTATCAAGAACAGCGTGCCTATGTCATTATTTCATAAAGACGAATCTCTACGGTGAGTGTTGATAGAAGTATGATTGAATCATTGGTACGTGCGTGGTACCACTCGGCACTGATTCATCGCACACGTAGTACTACTGGTGTCAGGTTTGGCGACCCCCCACGTGCTCACGTGCTAATGGCCAATATTCGCCATTCCCGGCCACATCGTTAGGCTTTTATTGTTATCCTCCTTACGCAATAGTTTTTGAATTTAATGGAGGTCAAAAACTCTTTCTTTTATCACCTCCGAAGGGTATGTAGATCATTGGCTTACGTTCGACTTATTTATTACAGAGACTGCTATGGGAGTCAGCAAGACTACACAAGACCAGAGCGGATTCGAATACGCTATGGCTGTAATGAAGATGTGTGACATCCTTCACTTGAGACATACTAAGATCTGGCTCAGACCAGACCTCCTCTTCAAATTTACCGACTACGCTAAGACTCAAACTAAACTCCTTGATGTCATCCACGGCCTGACCAAGAAGGTAATTATTTGAATTTACTAGCTGTCCTAGACTTTATGGCTATAGAAACAATACCGACTAGTGAGAACTAGTTAGTTATACGGCCATCAAAGGCGACGGAAAACTAGTATTATAATGAACATCTTAGAAATCACTATGACATACTTAACTTATTGTAATGTAAATTTTAAGGTTATCCGAAGGAAGAAGGAGGAATTCAACTCTGGCAAGAGGCCCACTATTTTGAATGACTACAGTTCCACCGCTGAGGAAACTACCAAAACTACATCCGTCGAGGGTCTGTCATTCGGTCAAGCGGCCGGTCTTAAGGACGATTTGGATGTTGATGACTCTGATGTAGGACAGAAGAAACGTTTGGCCTTCCTTGACCTTCTCCTCGAAAGTTCACAGAGCGGTGTTGTTATTTCCGACGAGGAAATCAAAGAACAAGTGGACACTATTATGTTCGAGGTAATTATTCTAAAAAGGGCATACAAAATAAAAACAGAAGTTTCTTTTAGAATACAAAATAACTAATTTGATATAATGTTTTATTCAGGGTCACGACACAACTGCCGCTGGAAGCAGTTTCTTCCTGTCGATGATGGGTATCCACCAGGACATTCAAGACAAAGTTATCGAGGAACTTGACAAGATCTTCGGTGACTCGGATCGTCCAGCTACTTTCCAGGACACTCTTGAAATGAAATACCTGGAAAGGTGCCTCATGGAAACACTCAGAATGTTCCCGCCAGTGCCTATCATTGCACGTCACTTGAAGCAAGACATCACTCTTCGTAAGCATTCTTTCCATATTTTTCATATACTTTTCTAAATATTTGTTTTGTGAATCCGCGTTAATTTCTCTTTAATTTTGTACAGCTTCATGTGGTAAGCAAGTGCCTGCTGGTACAACCGTAGTAGTAGCAACATACAAACTGCACCGTCGCCCCGACGTGTATGAAAACCCTACCAAGTTCGACCCCGACAACTTCCTGCCTGAGAAATCAGCGAATCGCCATTACTACGCATTCGTGCCATTCTCCGCTGGACCCAGAAGTTGTGTCGGTAAGTAACCAAATTCTTTAACAAAATTAAATTGAAACAATTTTGTGGCCTTTGTACTCAATCTACGTGTTTGGTCCACAGGTCGTAAATACGCCATGTTGAAGCTGAAGATTATTCTATCTACGATACTTAGGAATTTCCGCGTCTACTCTGATCTTAAAGAGTCCGACTTCAAACTGCAGGCTGACATTATCCTCAAGCGAGCTGAGGGCTTCAAAGTTCGCTTGCAACCACGCAAAATGGCCAAGGCGTGCTGATTAGTTACATTATAATTCCTAATTTTAATTTTTATGTAAATATGGACGCATGGTTCTCGCATTTTTACTAAGTCCGTGCTGATAGCACGGAATAAAATATTTTCATAACATATTGTTAATATCAAGAAAGATGTTAAATCGGTGGCAGACCTTTAGACACGGGAAGGTGTTGATAATGGTGCAACAGTTGGCACGTTTGCTCAATATTATTTAACTATGCGGTTATTTTAAGTACTTTGTAAATAGACATTTAAATTATACCCTTTTTACGTTGTACGAATAAGACGAACCAATAAAGTATAGGTAACAAATAAAGTTTATTTTATTTATAAACTCTAATATTACTCATAATATTATATTAAAAACACTATTTAAAAAAAGTTAATAATCGGATATTTACCTATTTTGCGTCGGCATGAGGATCATGACTTGTAACACTACGCACATAGCTGCTATGAAGTTTTCTGATATCTTGAATCGTCGAAGTCCTTCCGAGAGCTTCATTTGAGAAATCAAACAAAGATACGTGTACTAGTGATTTCTTGCATTCGATCTGATTCCTGAAATCATTTCATTGAAATATAAATATTTGTTACTGCAATAAAAACTAAATCGAACTTTTTATACATATTACAATATATAAAATACTCTAATACTTCACATTTCTTAGATATATGACATAGAATTCCATTAGGTTTGGGCCTACCACAACGATCATGAAGAGGGACCTAATAGGTGCAAATTCAGCCATTTGTCATGTGGCTGATGTATCTAGTTCAATTCTAGTTTAGTTTGGACGTCACTACTGGACTAGTAGGGGACACTGCAGAATTAACCGGTGAGGAGGTCTTGCTAAAAATACCCAAATATGTATGTATTACATTTGACAAAATCATTGTAGCAAAGCCATTAGACACTGACCATTGTGCCTTGTCCAAGTGTGGAATGATGTTTTATTAGAATGCATTCGCTTGATGCCCATCGAAAAATAACTAAATAGCTATTTGTTTTAATGAAAAATAAACCTTACATAAATTACAAAAAAATAATAATTAGACCATACCACAAGACATCCAGTGGAGTCCGATGATGGACGGGGCACGGACATGGCAGGAAGTCGTGGTGAAGTCGCTTGACCCACCAGCGCGCGTGCGACAGTTTCCATTCAATTGTTTTCATTTTAGCCACCGTACATCCGCCAGCCTCCCGCAACAAATTGAAGTAGGATGCCATTAGTTCTTGACCTGAAAATAGATCATGTACTTGAGATATTGTGCATATATGTGCGACTAAAGAGACATTATGCTGATCATCATAGTACTGAGCTATAAACCACTACACTGCTAATCATGACGTTATAAATGCCATATGTTTATGTATGTAAGTATATCCTTTAGCTCGTGATTAGTAATTTATGGAAAATTATATCTGATGATATAAAATTAAATAGTATTTCGAAATAATCTCAACTTTATACTTCCTGTTTGTGTGGTTCTGAAAAATGGACCTTGATAAACGAGCATAGAAGAGACAAACAGTTTTAAGACCCTCTAAAGTCTAAAGGCTATCATTATGGCACTTATCCATAATGCCACCCTTGTGCTTGGTTCTGTCAATTAGACTGCTAATTTCAGAGATAAACGTGTTCAACAGAATAATTTCTTCACATTAAACTATATTTTTAGTAAAGTACCTATTAAAATAATATTGATGACTGATTTACCTGCAGAAATGGCCGTCATAAGCCTCGATTGCTCCGCTTCTTCTTCGAAAATTTCATTTTCATTCTCGATGTAGATCTCACCCATTTCTTGTCCCTCCTTGTCACTTTCTATTCCTATCTTATTCTCACTTCCCAGCTTAAATTGATAAAAAATATTTTCGTTAATAGACCTTCTTTTTTGTTAATAGACCTACTATAACACCTCATTATACCATGTTTTAAGCAAATAAATGTCTTCAATTATTTTATTTTGTAACTTCTTTCTAATAGGTCTCTATTTTGAAATTGTCCACCTCCATCTACTACATTAAGAGCATCACAAACCGATTGAAATTGAAAGCCCATGAAGCAGAGGAAGGCTTCCGCGAGATGTTGAGTGCCTAATTCCGGCCGCTCTCTCCTTAGGTGTAGCTCGCCTAGTAGATGCAGGGCCCGACCGAGCTGTCTTCTCAATCCATGTTCCATCGCACTGGCTCCCATCTCCGTAAGTAACTTGGCCGCAGTTTCGTATTCACCTAACCTGTACCCGTTATACTGTTAAGAATTGCTTAAGTTCGAGAAGACAATGGATGAAATATTGTTTCAATTTCAACAGATTAGAGTTTAATGGTTATGGATAATTGATCAAAAGCAGGGAAGTGACGGTAGAGTATTATACATTTTTCACCTACTCTTCCCGCAGGTATCATAAGAAAACTAACAAAGACCGGGCAGCATTGCTATCTGATAAATCTGAACCTTTTATATTGTGATCTCCAACCCGTCGGACAAACATAGGATTATTTATTTAACACTTTTTGTACAAATGCATACAATGGCAGACTTAATGCCGAATGGCATTCTCTACCAGCCAACCATATTACAGCGAATCCTTTTATGTTAGTACTCGTATTTATGTTGAGGAGGCCCATTTTCCAGCAGAGTAGTGGTCTGTCTCAGGCTATTGATGACGATGATGATGATGATGATCATAAACCAGTGATTGATATGACTAGCATTTTGCAAGGCATTGTAGGTAGAACCGTAAGTAAGACTAGACTTGGTGCCTAGTTGTATAGACATAATAATCTTAAACGTGCTAATATGGTATGTTTTTCAAAACGCAAAGATAATAGTGAATATTAAAACATTATAATTACTTTGTGTTCAATAGAAACAAGCTTGCAAATGTAATATTCTTGTTATTGTATATTTTATGAAAAGTGGACTCTTAACGTAGGTATTTTTTGAATAATAATAATACTTGTTCACGCAAAACATTATGTTTCATCGAATGATGTAATAAAAATTCGATTTATAGAGTAGTTTATAATTTAATACGACAACGTTATTATAATAGCGCAAAAGTGACGCATTAAAGGTTCACAGCGCTGTTTTGCCTACTGTGTGACAAATACTGTAACTTTGTGATGTTGATATTAACAAAACTAGTCTTTAAATCGTATACTTTAAAGCAATTGAAGCCCAAAGATTACACGACAAACACAAGTTAAGTAATGTGCATGAGTCTACTGCCATAGACCATACCGATTCCGTGTGTTTAATGAAAAGACGGCCCAATTGCCATTTTATTGAGCAATTACTTGAGAAGGACTTCTATTTAGAAAAAGAAGACTGATGAAGACTGGTAACCTTCAACAACTCTAGTAGACAGATAAATAATGCGTCCTTACCGCTGCATTACCGCTGCCAGATGCATTCTCGTTTCACAAAGACCTTCCACATTATTACCAGACTCGTATATCTTAAAAGCCCTCTCAAACGTTTTCTGTGCATTATTCAAATTGTTCATCATCAGCTGACAAATACCGATTTCAATTATCGCCTCAGCTGTCTTCACAGTTTCACCAGCTGTAATACAAGAAAACTTAATTAACCTTCACAGTTTCAATAGCAATTTAGTGAGTAAGAAATGGTAGTTTATTTGAGAAAATGGCTGAAAAATAATCATCAGCCTCGAACAAGATTTTGGCTGCGGGTTCGTTTACCGCACGGAACAACTCTTTGCGTGATCCACAGATTGTTGTTCCGGGTCTGGGTGTCATGTATATGGGAACTTGTATGTTTGTAATCGTACCCACGACACAAAACATAAATAAGATATCCGCTATTCCTTTGGAGTTTGACGTTCCATTGTATCTATCAACCCCAATGTAATACAAGCGCATTGTTTATGCCTTTGTGTAATACATCTATAGAAGTGCCTATATAACCTACCGTCTTTAGCTCTCCTCTCAGCCAAGCGAGCCAACCTCTCAGCTTTAGCCGTGTCTTCCTTGCGTACTGCTCTTGCTTTGTCGAGTAAAACTCTATGTAATTGTAATGCAGTCGCCTCGAACACGGTCGCAGTAGGTTGTACTTCTCCAGGTTCCTTAGCATCGCTTAATGGCCAGGTCTGTTGGGAAAAATATTTTATAATTTACTTAATACTTAATTCTTTACAAGAACGCACCTCTAATGAGTTTTGCTGCATGTAGGGCTGATACGGAGAAATGTACTATTTTAACCGACTTCAAAAAAAACAGGTTCCCAGTTTACCTGTATACGTATGTATGTATGTTTGTGCGCGATTATCTCGTGATTGGTTGAACCAATTGTGATGCGATTTACAAAAAACTGTTTGTTACACTTAGTAGAAGGGTTTAGTAAATTAATCCACCGATTTCAAAAAAGAGGGAGTTGAAGTCGGGTTTTTTAAACGTAGTTTATGTAAATATTTCTTAAATTTTAATGCACATTATACATATGCGTTTGCTCCTAATATATCTTAAGTCTTAAGGAATATGAGATCTATTTAATGAAGTGGTAATGAAAGATGATGATACATACTTAAATGTTAAACAACCGCATAATGCAGCAGTTACCACATAATGTAGTAACTAATTGGCTTCCGCAGTGGAAAATACTAGCTCGTACGAAACACTCTTACCATTCTCATATATTTAGGTACATAATGGAAAATAATTTAAACTGGTATAGGTAGCAGATTTAACGATAACTGGAGCATGACGATATAAAACTTTAAAGCTTACCGAAATAAAACAAAGACAATATAACGTTAGGTAATAAATATATGTTAACCTTTCCGATAGCAGAATCTCGTACTTCTGTCAGTAAAGAAAACGGTTCCTCTGGGTCCGCTCCTGGAACTTAAAATAATAGGTACATTTCAGACAGGTAAGCATAGACTCAAATATTGCACGGCTGGTGCGGTGGCTGGGCAGCTGGCTGCCGCGCAATCTGTCGCGGTTTCGATTCCCGCACGGCTTTGTGTGATCCACAGATTGTTGTTCCGGGTCTAGGTGTCATGTATATGTGAACTTGAATATGTGTAAACGTCCCCACAACACAGAAGAAAATCCTAATGTGGGGCAACGATTAAAAAAAATACTCAAGTGAACATGATTTTTACTAACAAACACAAATAAATTCAATACTAACATTTATCCAGTAAAAACTTCCCATAATGGTATTTACAAATGGCCTTCAACCTTCCACCATCGAGCAGATGTTTGCTGGACACGGCGATCGCTACTTGATAGAATTTTTCCGCTAACCACAATATGCCCTTTTCTCTTTCCGCATAGTACATCGCCAGATTTAGCAAATGGTTGCATTCCTTGTGTGTATTATCTTGAATATAAAATTAATAAAAAATTTATAGAAAAATGCCCCACTGTGACAAGCAGGTACCTAATCTACCGCATAGATACCTAATCTATAGTTTTGAGCTTGCAATAAGGTTAAAATTCGAATGTACTAGGGCGTTGTAAATAACATTTAATCCTTATAAATCCGTAGGCAAAGGTACACCTTACGGCACTTAATGCCACTGTACAATGTAGCACCCGCTTTTTCACTATTTATGTTATGAGTCCCATGTAATAGGAGGTGAGCCTTTTGCCATATATTTTTTTAAAAACGCAGTAATACTTTGTCAGACCCGGAAATCGAACCCGAGAACCCTTGTCCGGCAGTGACACTTGCGACCACTCGGCCAATGATGTAGTCTAATAACATAACATAACATAACATCACGCCTTTTATCCCCGAAGGGGTAGGCAGAGGTGCACATAGAAGTAACACCCACTTTTCACTATTTATGTTATGAGTCCCATGTAATAGGTGGTGAGCCTATTGCCATATACCGGGCACATTTCCAGACTCCGTGCTACTACTGAGATTTTTAAAAAACCCCAGTAATACTTTGCCCGACCCGGGAATCGAACCCGAGACCCCTTGCCCGGCAGTCGCACTTGCGACCACTCGGCCAACGAGGCAGTCTAATAAATAATCATAATAAGTCCTTATAAATAATAATAATATTTTACAAGGTATTATGACATAATGATGTGCAGTAATGATAACCCACGGCAAAGAAAGCAATCTGTTATAACTAATTGGACATTCTTCAACTTTAAGTACCAAATGAATCCGCCCATGTTTTTATAACAACTATCGTGAGACATACTAAATTAACTAAAAAATATATCAGTATGCGGCGCGACATCGCCGCGACCGCGCACGCTGCTCACGAGGAAGAACCCCTCTATGGTTCGAAACTAGTAGAGCTTTTCTCAGTATATTCACGTAAGTAACCCGCGATTTTTAGTTAAATCCGCCCCATGTTCACAAACAAGACCACTTTAAATGTTAACGTATTATACCGGTGCAGTAGTTTTTTTTTGTACTAATAATAATTTAAATTCATATTGTGTTGATGCTTGTGTATACGAACTTCGTTCACGATGCTTTTCCACTTTTTGTAGTATACCACTTATATGTTCCAAGTAATCATCTCTCTTCCTAAGGTCCACTACGATACCAATGTCGTCTTGGTTCACAAGTTGTACATTATCGTAAATAAGATCTTGAAGGTACGTTGATGAATCACAGTATCCAGCCTCTTTGAGCTCCAGAATAATACATTCATATAGAGGAAATTTACGCCTGAAAAAATTACGAAGATCAATGTTTCATCGGTTCATGTTGAGTAGTTCTGCTAAGAATATCTAATTTTTTTCTCGTTGAGCCTTAGAGCCATAAGACCTTAACAACCAAATAATTGGGAAAAAATATGAAAAAATCTAATACGATTTTTTTTATAAGATAAGCCCGTAAACGGTCAGACAGATCACCTGATGGTAAGCAATCGGCGTCGCCCATGGACACCGAAAGACCAGAGGCGTTACAAGTACGTTACCGGCCTTTAGGGAATTAGGAGTTTGAGGATTGTGGGGGATATTTAACCATTAGTTCAATTTGTTCATAATAAAAAAAGGAATATCAAAATAAGAAGAATTGTGGTTTTACCTTCTTATGCCATTGGAATCCAGCATGGCTAAAGAGAAGATAGCTTTGCTACGGAAAGTGTCCAAGCTGTGCTTGGTCATACATGCCATCAATTTCGGCAGCGGACGTTTCTTAGGAAATCTGTTGTCCTTCTTTTCCTTTGTAGGATCATCATTGGGATTATTTGATTCCATAATATCTCGCAAATTATGAATAAAATATTCAAATTAAAATAGTATAAAAATAATTATTGTTTACGAAGCTAACAGCGTAGCGATGAGCAATTCAAGTTTTATTGTCAAAACTGACATAACATGACTTATTTTATTGCTTCCGATTTCCAGAACTTGCCAGTAACCCTTAAAATCACGGAAGAGTTTAAAATCTCTTTTGTATGACGATTAACAAACCTTTTTTACAAAACAAATATCATTATGATAATAGTATTAATGTATTGCAACAAAATAAAACCAAGATTTTAGAGACTAATTCTGATTTGTATAAAAGTGATGAAACAATAATACTCATAGCTTACAATTAAATCACTTGTATTTGTAAACGCAGGTAATACATTCAACGTCTAAATTTAAATCCCTGCAGATAGTGCAGATATATTACAGAAACTAACTAGAAGATATAATAAGACAAACAAAACATTGTTTGCGAAAACCACCTTGTCACATCTTTGGGGAAAACGGTACGAATATAACGTACGTTCACGCATAATTTAGTGCATGTGGGACAACAGTGTGCCTCTTAAATGACGTGTGATAATTCACCACAGAATTGGCCCTCTTACAAAGACCCCCTAAAATAACCATGATACAAGAAAAAAGCCTTGTTAGTTTTTATGATATCTCTTGTTAAATTTTATGATAAATTCTGTAGTTTCCGTCTTCGTATCGTATATAAGATCCAAGTTTATCGCGGACCCTTCGAAGGGTGAATATTTTTAGTAGCAATGAATTGTTTGGCCATGACATGAAAGAAATTCACCCAACCCCAACTTTGTTTTGGCACCGCAAATATTAATACTAGGTAGCATAAAGTATCAATTTTAGATTACAGTTTTGAATTGTGTGCCATTACAGGCATTACAGTTATTGGGCACAACCAGCTTAGGCAGATATATTTTTTTTTTATATTTGATGGGGCGACGTTTGACCACTATCTCACCTGATGGTAAGCGATGATGCGGTCTACGATAGAGCACGTCGTCCCATAAGCAACCTATTCACTCGGGCCTTGAAGACTCCCAGGTTATACCCTTCAGGAAATACAGACTCTGGCAAAGAATTCCACTCTTTAGCAGTACGCACAAGGAAGCTTACTTAAAGTAAGTTCGTAAAATCAGTCAAACCACTCTAAGATAAAAGAGAGTATAACTAGTGCCAAATACTTAATTTTGGTGTGTACTTAATCTGAAGCCACTCTTATTTTACTGAAAATAAAACAAGTAAACTGTGCATCATATTTATGCAATCAAAATTTCATCAAGTTAATTCTTACACTTAAGTTCCATTTATAGAAACTTATCATGTGCGTAGTAAATGATAATATGCATCACGTACGATGCAGAAATGTGTCACAACATTACGTTCATCAAGATTGTATCTATCATCGCTTTAAGGTAATATTGCAGTCATTCACAGCATGCTCTTATAAAATTGCTCTGTGCGAACTCAAATTGGAAAAAGGTATTACAATTATAAGTAATGGTTGCTATGTAGAACACGTGACGCGGATGATCTAATTTACTATAATGATAAATCATGTAGGAATAACCCTTAAAAACGTGTTCATTTTGTTGGCATACTTCTGAAACAAGTGTGGGAAAGCCATGCTTCGGCACGAATGGGCCGGCTCGACCGGAATGATACCACGGCCTCACAGAAAACCGACGTGAAGCAAGGCTTGCGTTGTGTTTCGTCCTGTGAGTGAGGTTACCGAAGACCCAATTACCCTCCCTTTCCCCAATCTCCCCAATTCCCGAATCCCTAACGATCCCCAAAAGGCTGGTAACGCTCTTGTAACGCCTCTGTTGTTCCAGGTGTCCATGGGCGACGCCGATTGCTTATCATCAGGATCACCTGCTGACGGATCACCGTCAGCTAGTTTACCGGCCTATGCCATAAAAATAAATCATGCTAAAAAAATCTGTACATAAATGATGGTGAGAATTCTTTCCGTTTATGATACCCAAACTACTTCGTGTGCGCGTGCACGAAAGTTGAAGTTTTTTGTGTGCATTTCCGACTATATAACTATAAGTATAATTATACTGATTCGCGTCCACTATGAAAGATTTTTTACATAAAACATGAAATTAGAGGAATGTATTACAAATAAAACAAAAAAAAGTATTTTATTTTCCTACCACTAGGGGCGATTATAAGGTGTGATAAATATTTATCGAATTGAGTAGAACATAAAACTATTTGTATTTTGTTTTGTTCGAATTGATAGAATGTACATTAGAGGGACCTTGAAACGAGGTAACATTATCAAGGACTGTGACACGACCCTCGACCCGAATGAAACAAATTACAGATGTTAGGGTGCCGACACACATTTTCGGCGAATGTAACATGATAACTTGTCCTATATTTCCTACAAACTACATAAGAAAAGGAAACTATGATCTGCCTCCATATTTGTTCATATTTATAGATCTTTTGTAGGAGTTTTTGATTTGATCATACATAGTTGATTACAGCGCTTCGTGTAAATGGGCAATGCTAGCAAAAAACCAAATAATTGGTTTTGTATGTGTTTTCCGATTCTATCTGATGATTTGTGATTTGTAACTAAAAATGTAACCGCTGCACTATGAGCTATGCTATGCTGTTTTAGCTGTACATCAACCTGTTAATAAAAAGGGTTTTCTAAAACTGAACGTTATACTACTCAAGTTAGTGCACATTCGTAAGTTTTAGATAAACCACATGAAGTAGGCAGTCTGTTTTCAACTTAACCTTTAGGGGACATTCGAGGTTGGCGCCGATACGTCGGCCGGCGTGCGACGCGCCCGCCAAACCGAGACGACGAACTAGCGCGATCAATTCCACCCTTGTCTCTCTAATCACTGCCATTACGATTTACAATGACTATTCCACGAGATATCGAATTCGATTCCAATGTCGTGCAAAGTCAAAATAGGTTTTTATCGAAACTCTAGATTTATGGTCGATGTATGGAAAATAAATGCATACATACATTTACGAAAATACCCCTAATTTTGGGGCCTGCTACTAATTTTGAACGAAAATTTGTTGCCTTTTTACTTTATTTCCGTTTATAAGGGCTGCGTTTATTGTAGTAAAAATCATATAGACTTTGGACTTCTCGATACCTCAGTCAGAAAGTCGTGCTCGATCATCGCAAATACCAACGAACAAACAATGCAAAAATGAAATTAGTCATTGGAACTGACTGATTTACATTAAATTAACAAAAATTACAATAAAGGTTAGAATAGCATAGCTAATAATAGAAAATCAGCATTATCATTTTATTTTGGTAACACAATGCTAGTTTGAAATTGGTATATTATGTATGAACGATAGACTTAGGTACCACTAGAATGATATGTCTAAAGTCCAACTTTGTTTACCATTGAACATTTTAGGTACAGCATATTAACATAGACATATAAATTTAAGTTATAAAACAACCAGTATGATAATAAAGTAACATTTTGAGATTCTTAGAATATTTTAAGAAAACTATCACGCAAAAAACTATGTACTTCACCTGAGATAGGCAAATGCGCAATAAATTGTAATTTAATCTACATTCTATAATCTACCACGCAAAACATAAACAATCTCAAATTAGTCCTATACTGCTATGTCCACTGAATATGGGGTACTTGCCTATCAGACTTATCGATTTTTGAAATCGTCTCAACAATTATATGCAACGAAAATAATTCTTATAAACGTAGTTTACGTTTAAAAATTCCGTCCTCGACCCCTTTTTTATTGTTATTTAAAAAGACAGTGCTTCTGCCTAAAAACAACGAATAAAAATATATTATTTTTATTACATTATTTAATTTTCAAACTAATCTATTTTTAATTATATCAGCAGCTCTTTTCGATTATTTATTATTATTCATCATTGTCTTTATTCTGTTGACTGTTGTTATCATTCTGGTGTGCCTGCATTTTGTCAGTAGATGTGTGAATGACTGACGTCATGGCTGGTATGGCTTCTGCTCTTACATTACCGCTGGGAGCAGCATCCTCGTCATCTCCAGGACTTTCATCGTTTCGCTTCTTCTTTGCATCCTTTATTGCCATTAGCATTTCTGAAACAAATACGTCTAAGTAGTTGAAATTTTGCAAATACATATAACAATGCAGTTGCCATCTTGTATTTAAATTTTGGGTGACTATTATATAACGCTAACTGAGGATTGCACGCTAGGCTAGACTAGACATAGGGTACATAAAATTGTACTAAAACTAGACAAATAAAAATAGCCAGGATATAAAATTTCTTTATCATTCAACTTTTATATTATAACGTCCAATAAAAATGTTGGCAGCTGAAATCTCTCTTTACAAATGCTTTCGACATTTGAACCAGTAAACCCCGTATTAATCAAAGTAATCTAAGCCAATTCGGGACAGATTTATTCACAAAACTTTAGTATTTAAATAAAGGCAATTTATCCTGTCTCACTGACGGCTTACAGAAGAGATATTAGCGCATGCATATCATCCCTTTTCAGACATTTTTCGAATGAAGGATTTGTCCTTTCCATAATAACGCCAATCTCGGTAGCTGGAAGTATAAATTGCGTTGGTGACCCGAAATTCTTCAAACAGACGATTGTCAGCCCAACCTAAGCCGCCTATAAGTTTTGGATTTATGTAACGTCTTCTCAAGAGCTTACAAGAAACTTTGTTTTTTAAAAAGGCCACACTAAATGTGAACTATAAATACCTACGTATGAACAGAGACTGTTAATTTATAATTAACAGCGGATCTTTTCTTTCAGCAAGCAGCTACCGTGTCTGAACAATTTCACACCCGTTACAAACGACGACGCACTTCTAATTACACACCATAACATATGTGTCAATGTTCTTAATTAATGTACACGAACCTCGCTCAGGAATACCTTCATTAAGCCGACTAAAGCAGCAATGCAATGAGATGCTTTTTATTTATTCCCTTGAAGACAAGGGTAAATGATTATGGCGGTAAAAGAACACAGGTCATTAGGGCTCACCTCTTCTAAAATTCGCTGAAACCGGCATGTCTTTTGCGCC